GGTTACTGTTGCGTTCTAGTGGAGCTCTATATAAGCAGGCTGGCTGAACCCTTCAGCTCAGTTCTGTTCTGGCCTGTGAATAAACAAGAGCAGTTTGAAGAATCGCTGTGTCGTCTGATATGTTCACCCACAACTTAACATCCTCTTTTTGCTGCCTGACTATAACTGTAAAAATGGAACAGGCAGGCCACACTCCATAGTTGGCAAGTGGTTTTCTGCTTCACGGGTCACAGGTTTTGCAGGCTTGCTCCAGGCCCTGTGGTGACTGGCTTTTGTTTGCCCCATATTAATTCAATCTGGAATGAAAGGGAGACATCTTGCCTTCTAGTGCTGCTTTGCTCTGCAGCTGGAGCCTGGCGCTCAGAAGCAAACTCTCCACTTGCTGGCACGGCAGTAAGACATCTGGGGACCGATTACCGCAAAACAAACACTTTCTTATGCTCAGGCCTCTTCCAGTCTCTGTAGTGAGATCTTTGTTGAAGCAGCAGTAAACAACCTCTCGCTACAGAGAGTTCAGATTAGCTGGTGTAGGCGGCTGATTAGGAATTCTATTTAGCCAATTAATCTACATTTGCAGAAATCTCAAATCATGCTTGCTTATTTCCCCCCTCTAAGTATTTATGTAAGAGATCCAGTGACTTTGTGAGCATCCGACTTAAAGCCATGCCGGAAGAAAAGGGCAGGGCTCATTGGCGCTCTGACAATCCTGTCTCTCCTTTGATTTGCGATGGTGAGCACTTCGGTGGATCAGTGGCTTGCAGCTTAGCCCAATATGTTATGGGCACGGGGAGGGTTTCTTCCACTGGGTGCCCTCTGCTTCGGAATGATTAGATGGCAGGAATGATCAGCGCAGACTTCTGAGTGGCCAGAAGAGGCCAGCAAGAGCTGCTTCACACATTACAAAATGGCCACTCAAACAAGGGTGTAGGAAGGGGGGGGGTGCGGGGAGTGCGTCTGCCCCGGGTGTCATCCTTGAGGGGGGTGACAAAATGGCACTCCGCTGGGGATGGCACTTACTCTGCAGCGCGTCTCTCTTGGGAGTGACGCGGTGGCTTGGGGCCCCGCGTTGCCCGAAACGGCAGCTTGATGCTTGCGCCCACCAGGCGGACTCCTTGGGCAGCTTGTGCCACCGTGTGCAGATCCCCATGGAATGCTGTGGTGCCCCCCTGGATGGAGCGCTGCAGCACCCCAGTTTGCAGATTGCCGCCATGGCCCTGTGTGCGGATCGCCCCTCACCCACCGCTACAGGTGCCAAAGCAGCTAGCTATGCCCCTGCACCCGAAAACCATGCGTTGCAACAATCCCATTGTGATGGCCTGGGATTCCGATTCTGAGAGTGAACCGGAGGAATCCCAGCCGGCACAGGAGTCCCCGCCTCCAGGGCCGGCTGAACTGGGGCAAGGCCTGGATTCTGAGGAGCCTGCACCTGTGCCAGATCCTCAGGAGCAGGCACCAGGTGAATCCATTCTGGCCCCAGAGGTGCTTGAGGACTCAGTGTCTACAGGTGAGTCTCCCCCGGGGCCCAGTAACCCTTCAGCCTTTCCTGAACTGCAGAGGCTTAGGGCAGAGAGGCAAAGGGAACTGGTTTCTCCCAGGAGGAGTGCTCGCCTTAAGGCCAGGAGAGGTGGGGCTCCTGGGGGCCGGGACCGCCCCTGGCCTCAGAGAAGATAAAGGCCAGTCAGCCCGGTCCCAGGTTGCAGGAGCAACATCGTTGTGGAGTACCTGCTATTACCCGGACCCAGACCTGATCTTCCAGTGTTCCTGTTCCCCGCCCGGCCTCCTGCTTCTGATCTTCAAGTGTTCCTGTCCCCGCCCGGCTTCCTGCTTCGGACCTCGCCTCGCACCTTGTGGACTATTTCCAGGCTAGTGACTCAGGACTGAGCTTTGACTACGATAACAGTAACCTTCCCCCCCCCCCCCGGGACCAGCACAATTGCACTCTTGGGCATGGGAGGCTAGTCCTTTAGGGCGAATGGGGTGCTTGTTTCCCAACCAACCTTAGTCTGCCCTCCACCACCCTCCAATTGCCTGCTTTCTTACGGGGTGTGGGGGTGTGTGTGTGGCACCACCTATCCCATACTCTCCAACATGCTGCAGAGGGGAAACCTGAGCACATGTCTTTTTTGGAGCTGGGCTCTTGCTGGAACCAGGTGACTCGCGCAAGAGCCCCCCCCAAAAAACAGATTTCTTTGGGGGCTGCTCTCTCAGGGGAGCCAAAGCAGGACACCCCAGCATCCAATCAGAAGCCAGGATGGCTTCTGTAATTCTGGGATGTCCACAGTTGAGGGGGTACGTGACCAACTCCCTCACTTTAGAGTTGCTTTTGCCGAACTCGTGGGAAGAGGATGGAGAGAAAAGTAGGATTGGTTGACTCTGCTTGCCCTTGGCTCTGCCTCTGTCTACTGTTGGCTTTCTGCCCTATTAGTCTCAAAGAGCCACAGCCACCACTGGCCATGAGTTTTTTTGTGTGTGTTTTCACTTGCTGAAAGACTTAAGGGCTTAGCCACACTGACCTTTTGTCCTGCTCCTTGCATGCACTGCTCACACTTAAAACCTCTGTGTCCCAGCATTTTGTCTTTTGTTTTTGCTCCGGAGCTTTCCCTGTGAAAACCCTGTTTAGTGCTCAGTTGCAGCAAACATCCATTTGGGTTTTTCGTGGATTGAGCTTTTGAGCTTTTAAGCACGGACCATGTCTGGAAACAGCAGGGGAAAGCTAAGTGCAGATAAGCCCCAACACAAATTCTTACTTCTCAGATTCCATCTGCACTACACAATCAAAACAGAATCTTACCACTTGAAACAGTCATGGCTTCCTCCCCAAGAATCCTGGGAACTGTAGTTTTGACAAGAGTTTCGAGATCCCTATTCTCTTCACAGAGCTCCAGTTCTCAGAATGGCTTAACAGTTGACCCCCCTTTCTAGGAACTCTGAGAACATAGCTCTGTGACTTTCTCTGGATACAATCACACACCAAGTTTTAAGAAAGCTAATCTTTATTATTGGAAATCCATGTTGGTAGGAAAGTTCCCCAGATCTATCATGCTATAATGGAGATGCAATGATCTATGCTTGCCCTCATGGCTGATCTCATGGGAGAAACATGAAGAAGGAAGAAGGAAAGGAAATATGGCATGAGGTCAGCAACCCTAGGAGTATCAGCCTAGCGTTGAAGGAAGATCAACAGAGGTCAGGGCAAGATGGGCAGTCTAGGAAGCTTGGAGGATCCTCTCTTATACCCCTTCTCATAAAGATATACAGTGGTACCTCTGGATGTGAACGGGATCCGTTCCAGACCCCCGTTCGCAACTTGAAGTGAACGCAACCCGCGTCCATGCGTCTGTGCATGTGTGGGTCGTGATTTGCCACTTCCACGTTTGTGCGTGATGTCATTTTGAGCACATGCGCAAGTGGCGAAACCCGGAAGTAACGCGCTCCGTTACTTCCGGGTCGCCGCGGAGTGCAACCCGAAAATGCTTAACCTGAAGCTACATCAACCTGAGGTATGACTGTATCACTCCACAGTGCAAGCTGCGCTGCACCTCAGACAATTCCTGCAAAATGCACCAAGCTCAGCAACTGTGCACTCACGTAGGGCTCATCCAGACTTCCTTTTGTGCTGTGTTTATGGGTTGCCATATGTCCGGAATTTCCCGGACATAGCCAGAATATGGCAGTCAGTAACAGTGACCAGGCAGAAATTGCTGAGGTGTCTGGGAAAACCCATATGTATGGCAGCCTATGTGTCTATATTTTTTTGCGAATTTCCTTTTAAAAAAAGCTCAAAAACCTCTTTTTTTTTGAGATCTTGAAAAAAAAAAGCCCAACAACATTTGTGTCTGGATTTTCACTTTTTGAAATATGGCAACCCTACTTGAATGTGCCATGTACGAGCACTTTTTGTGTGTGTCCTGTCACTTTCGTGGCAGAAACCCACTCTTTGCAGCTAAATTGAAGCAAACAGCAACCCACAGAAAATCCAAATGGCTGTTTGTTCCGATTCAGTGTTAAAGAGTGGGATTTTGCTGGGAAAGCGCTGGGGGGAAAAAGAAAAAGTGCTCTGACACAGCGCTTTAAAATGCAGACCTGTGGCTAAAAAGCACGAGGTGAAAGGTAACTGTGCCTGATCCCCAAGAGAAATAAAGTATTTGCACCTGCCCTTTGTTTACAACAGCCGTAAGGGTGGGTATCGGTCCTGCTATTCAATAAAATGTGGGCATGGTCAGGTTGCAAACAGGAACTGAGCAAGAAGAGCGAACAGTCTCACCAGGGCCCTGTGGGGCAGTTGTTGGGAAAGCCTGATGGAGCTAGTCTTAAAATCACAATGATTTCAAGCTGCCACAGAGGGGGCTTGATTTGGGCTGTGATCAGATGTGGGGACGGACGGACCACCTTTCTAGTTTGCCTTTTTGCAATGAAACTATTGAGCTATTTGGCTCTTAGAGGGAACCACTAGAGATACTTGTGTGTTGCAAAGGATACTTAGTGGCTTTAGGGATGTGGGTGGCGCTGTGGTCTAAACCACCGAGCCTCTTGGGCTTGCCGATCGGAAGATCGGTGGTTCGAAGCCCTATGACGGGGTGTGCTCCCGTTGCTCTGTCCCAGCTTCTGCCAACCTAGCAGTTCGAAAGCATGCCAGTGCAAGTAGATAAATATGTACCACTGTGGTGGGAAGGTAAACGGCGTTTCCATGCGCTCTGGCTTCCATCATGGTGTCCCGTTGTGCCAGAAGGTGTTTAGTTATGCTGGCCACATGACCTGGAAAGCTGTCTGTGGACAAACAGCGGCTCCCTCGGCCTAAAAGTGAGATGAGGCGCCACAACGCCACAGTCGCCTTTGACTGGACTTAACCATCCAGGGGTCCTTTACCTTTTCTACCTTACTTAGTGGCTTCAAAAGGGTAGGATTTAAATCAATAAAATGGCATAGGAAGGAAAGCGTCAAGCCCGTTTCCTGAGCAGCAGTACAGTCCTAATTCTTATATCCTCCACCTCCCATTGCAGCTGCCGGAAACATGGGAAAATAACCTATTAATGGATTTCTGCAGCAACTTTGGCTCTCACTCAGCCTGAAATACCAATCAGAATCTGATTACAAACAGGTTCCTAAGGTAAGGCTAAAACCCTCCCAAAGTCTTGAAACGACTGAGCCCGCTAATTAACAATCTACGTCTTTGCCTCCTACACAGTAGGAGAAACCTCCCCACCTTTCAATCAAAGAACTAACGCTTCGGAAAAACAAAGGAGACTAATTTAAGGAATAACTTGTATTTACTTCAAACTCCCCAGGCGGCATATGATTCAAGAAGCAATTGTGCAAGTAAGAAACGTATGGTGCCATCTTGTATGTCAGAGTAGTATAATTTGGAATAATTCAATAGGAAATATTAAATGACAGGAAGGGGGGGGGGGAGAAGACAACACTCAATAGGTTTAATTCTTCCTCTTGGTATGGTGACCCAATGAACATAGAAACCTGGGAAGCTGCTTTAGCCGTTGGTCCATCTAATTCAGTACTGTCAACACTGACTGGTAGGAACTCTCTAAGGCAGGGAGTCTCTCCCAGACTTATCAGGAGATGCCAGGGATCCGCACCAGCATCATCATCATTATTATTATTATTATTATTATTATTTGTATACTGCCCTTCAATCACAAATCTAGGCAGTTCACAACAGAAAAATACAATAATAATAATTGCATGACAAGCTGCCCCTGCTGAAATTGCCTCTTCTAAACAACTGTCTTGCCAAATGCAAGGTGGCTCTTTTAAAATGAGATTCAGAATACAAAACACAAGTGAGTGAGCTTAAAGATTTTATTCTAAACAGCAAGCAATATATATATATATATATATATATATATATATATATATGTCGATGGAGACATATATATATGTCGATGGAGACAGCTTTTTGTTTCCAATATATATGGTATATATATACCAAGTAAGCACTTCAATCTGCCACTTGGAAGCCCTCAATAAGCGGCAAAGTGACTCCCCCAGGTAGCCTCAGTTTGCACGGCCCCGCAGCCGATCAATTCTGTGCACGAGCTTCTCAAAAAACTCTGCCCACAACCATCCAATTTATAGTTAGCTAGCCTGTGTTGCTTGCCGGACTATCTACATGCAGATCATTCATTACTGGCTAAGTGCAGATTATTCATTAGGCACCCCCTCCTAATGCCTGACTTTCTCAAAACAATGTTCAACATCAAAAAGGTACCTAGCACTATCACTTCCTCCCAACTGATTAGGACACAAAAGGCTGTTCTTCATGCCATCAAATAACTTAACAAGAGACAAGAAGGCCGAGGGTGTGGGGGACAGAGGCAGGAAGGGGAACCATGTCAGACCACTAACTCCTCAAAATACAATTTATCTTCCGGATAGACTGCCCATACAACAACTAACAAAGGTGCAGGAACCCTGACCTCATTTTCACCTGGCTGTTCCACCTCTTGAAGAGTACCACTGACATATTGTGGTGGAGGATAGGAGAGGATTAAAGAGGCCAGAGACTGGCAGAACTGAACTAATAAAGGGCACATCCACACTGTCATTTAATGGCTATATACCCACCTCCTGGCAAATAGAAGGGGAGGAAATGGAGGCAGTGGGAGATTTTACTTTCTTGGGCTCCATGATCACTGCAGATGGTGACAGCTGTCACGAAATTAAAAGACACCTGCTTCTTGGGAGAAAAGTGATGACAAACCTAGACAGCATCTTAAAAAGCAGAGACATCACCTTGCCGACAAAGGTCCGTATCGTTAAAGCTATGGTTTTCCTAGTATGGAAGTGAGAGCTGGACCATAAAGAAGGCTAATCGCTGAAGAATTGATGCTTTTGAATTATGGTGATGGAGGAGACTCTTAAGAGTCCCATGGACTGCAAGAAGATCAAACCGATCCATTCTGAAGGAAATCAGCCCTGAGTGCTCACTGGAAGGACAGATCCTGAAGCTGAGGCTCCAATACTTTGGCCACCTCATGAGAAGAGAAGACTCCCTGGGAAAGACCCTGATGTTGGGAAAGACGGAGGGCACAAGGAGAAGGGGACGACAGAGGACGAGATGGTGGGCCAGTGTTCTCAAAGCTACCAGCATGAGTTTGACCAAACTGCGGGAGGCAGTGGAAGACAGGAGTGCCTGGCGTGCTCTGGTCCATGGGGCCACGAAGAGTCGGATGCGACTAAACGACTAAATAACAACAACAACCCACAGTAATTATCCATTGCCTGTATGACATTGACCTCTAAATTGCTGCCTTCCCACACTTCTCCCTCAGTCGGTCTAGATTTTCTTGGACCAGGGATATGCCAAAAAACAGGAGAGTATGAGCAGGGGTATTGTGTCCAGTTTCACTGCCTGAGGGGAGAACAGGAAGGTGCCACCCCACCAAAGCCTTCCTTATCTGGGTCGTGCGGCAGCACCCTCAAAGCAGCATTGGCAACAGGAGGGTCCAGTGAGATCTCACAAGATCTCTGCAGGGCCCTTCCTCTTGGCATTCCACCACCTGAGGCAGCTGCCTCAGCCTGCCCCATGAGCTGGCCAGGCCTGGGTAGGAGAGAATCTGGATTGTGGGAGGGGGAAGTGTGGGAAAGCTGTGATTTGGAGGACAATGAAATATGGATCACTGATAATTAACTGTAAGAGAGATTTAATTTTTTTAGCTAATGTGGGGGATGGGGGAACAAAGAGAATATTATTCTTCAAATTTAATCTTGCATCCAGCTGAGCCGGGAGAGATGATGGAAAAGGGTAGATAGTCTGGTTTAAATATACACAGGAAAGGGGAAAATAGAAAACCTGTCCCAGCAGTGCTACCCAGCATATGTTCAGCTGGCTTTTTGACTGAGGAAAGCTGATGAAAAATTGATAGGGTACTTCTAGGCCCCTTGGAAGGATGCCTGATGGAAATGCAAATGACCGCGATGCCTATAAATCTGTAGGTGTTGTTGGCTACAGAGCTTGTTTAGAACAGCAAGTTCTGAGCTACCTTGGCTGCATCCAACATCCCTTCCTGATGATGTGACCCCCCCCCCCGTTGCACTGAGAGCTGATCGCACAGCATAGATTTGAAAGAGACCCAAGAGCCTGCTTCAAGGGCTCCTGCCAAGCGAAACAAGGCATGTGACTATCAAATGGATGGCCTTGGCTGTGGGACAGCATCCCCAGAGAGGCTCACCTGGCCCCTTCTTCTCCTTACATAAAAAAATAAAATAAAAATCAAGAAATACAAACATTGAAATATGATCAATGCAAAATAAAACATAAAAGCAATATCTAAACAGCAGCAATAGCAAATGAAAGGTACTTTTTGAGGGTTAGGGCTCAGTATGCCTGCAAAACAGTGATAATATTGAGGCATCCTGTGTTTGCACCTTTAGGATTTTGTCCCAGTTTTCTTTGGGGAGGGGGGGGGAATAAGAAAAAATCCCTATTGTGGAATATTTTCACAAATTTAGTCAAGGCGAGTGAGATGTTTTTGAGAGTGATGTTTCGCAATAATGCTGTTACGGCCATCTGTTGCTGCAGCAGAGATCTTTGATCCATAATTCAAAAGCAGTGATTTATTCATTATTTAATCCATCTCTATCCATGCTTTTCTTCAACAGAGCACAGGGCAGCAGACCCACAGGGTTCCCAGCTAGTGATGTCAGAGACATCTGATGAAAACAAGCAACGGGAGCTGAAATTCTCAAGGTTTGCTTATTCGTCTCGTCTCTGGAATGGAAATCAATGCTATGAACCTGTCAGGTCTGTGCTGCCGCCGCAAATGATGAACTAATTATTACACCCCCAACCTGCATTTCATTTCATTTCATTTGCTTTGAAATGAATGGGGTAGAATAATGTAATGATATTGTAACATACGTAACAGCAGACAGCAAGGTGAGTAACAGTTTTTGGCAGAAGACAAACTGCAGCAGAACAGAAATAGTGGTACATGTGGTGAATACGGGAAGAAATGGAAAACAGTGCTTTCTGACACCCCTGAGGCTGCAGTCCTACAACCAGAATTTGGGGAGCAAGCCCCACTAGTTTCCCATCCCTGCTGTAATGTTTATGGCAGATCCATTCCCTGTCCCAGTCCGGGATTTTTGAATGCTCTGGGCTAACCAAAGACTAATCCACTCCAGGATTTTGCAGCAAGGGGAATTCTGGAAGGAAGGGGAATTCTGCAAGAAAAGAACTCTTAAAAAAAAAAAATCTACTACGCAAAGTCTGGGTCCAGATTCTTATTTCTAAGAGTCCCTGGCTTCTGAACGCAACAGTCTCCAGCTCCCATCGGCTCCAGTAAATGGTCAGGGATAATGACAGTGGTAGTTTTAGGGGATTACGGTTTATGCCCAAATGCACCAAAGTGATGAAAGCTTTAACACTTCATTAATGCGCCCTCTCTGAGTTTCATCCTTCAGCTTTGATCAGTAATAACCCAGTGCCAGTGGCCAGTAATTAGCTAGCCCCAACACCTCCCTGGATAAAGGTGTTATTAAGTGCAAGCTTTGGTTCTGCCTAAATGTGAATGAAGCCAGGGTCAGCAGATTTAATTCACACCTATATCTGCAGTTCTTACTGGAGTGAAGGTTAATTGAAATGGGCCTCTTCAAATTATTTAATGCCGACGTGAAGTCTCATCGTCTCTCCCGCTTTCCAAAGGTGAGGCAAGTGTGTTGTTCACTTGGCAGCCAGAGGGTGGCAGTGCAGACTCTTGGATAGTCCCTAGCCAGGTTTGCCAGCTGGAGAATTATCTGGTAGCATCTTTGCACAGTTCTTAACACTGGGATTGGAGAAGGCAATCTATTTTGCGCTGTGTTAATGCACTATGGGATGTCCATGGGGTTCATGCAAACATGGAAGTGATGCCTAAGTAACAGGGAGCCTATTATTCTGGTTACCCTTCCAACTTCTCCAGGGCTGCAATCTTGCTAGGTGGGGTCAGGGGAGGTGTGCCCCATTTCATTGCTTATGGGGAAATGGGAATGTGCACCTCCCCTCCCCTTCACTGCCCCCCCAGCCCCTTGCTGCCACTCTTACTGGTATTGCACAATGGTGCCGGTGTAACAGTGGCAGTGGCGCCGGCTTCCATTGAGTGTCAGGAGCCAGGTCCTGTGACCAGTAGGACTTTGCAGGACTGGGGCCTTCCTAAGTTTGTTCTGAAGAGGCAAGGTGTGGCCACACAGGTGAGGCCATTTGGTAACTCACAGCACCAGGTGGCAAGAGCCGGGAAGGGATATAAGGTCAGCATTTCCCTTCGGCTCTTTGCCGCAGCAACACGTTTCTTGCCTTGCTGCGTTTGGCTCCTTGACCCCTTGCTTCTTGATCCTTGGACCTTTGACTTTGTGACTCCTTGCTTCCTGACCCTCAGACCCTTGGCTTCTTGACTCCCGGTTCTCTGACCCTCCGACTCTTGGCTTCCTGACTCCTGGCTTCTGGACTCCTGTTCCTGCTCCCATCCCGCCATCTTGCCCCCGGTCCCGACGTCACCAGCCAGAACTTCAATCACCCATGAACCAGACCGTGACAGCGAGATCTTGCCAGAAACCATTGCCTCTGCTGGTGAGGCTTCTCCACTGGAAGTGGGGTGGGGGGTGGAGGTGATGCAGGTGCCTGCTCTTGGACTTCCACTGCCCGAGGCAAGCGCCTCACCTTGCCTCATCAGTGGGCCGGGCCTGGGTAGGAGGTTTCCGTGGGTTGCAGCTGACAATTATACCCTCCAACGTTTCTCCGATGAAAATAAAGGTAAAGGTAAAGTTAAGTCCTGACAGTTAAGTCCAGTCGCAGACGACTCTGGGGTTGCAACGCTCATCTCGTTTTACAGGCTTAGGGAGCCGGTGTTTGTCTGCAGACAGTTTTTCCGGGTCATGTGGCCAGCATGACTAAGCCGCTTCTGGCAAAACCAGAGCAGCTCATGGAAATGCCGTTTACCTTCCCGCCGGAGTGGTACCTACTCTATTTTTCGATCCGCAAGACACACTTTTTCCCTCCTAAAAAGTAAGGGGAAATGTGTTTGTGTCTTATGGAGCGAATGCAGGTGGGAGGCTCTGCTCAGTGCTCCCTTTAAAGAGCCGTGCAGAGCGTGTGTGCAGCTCTTGCTGGCTTTTCCCCGAGGAGGGAGAAGGGACTGATGTGGTATTTATCTACTTGCATTTTTGACGTGCTTTCGAACTGCTAGGTTGGCAGGAGCTGGGACCGAGCAACGGGAGCTCATCCCATCACAGGGATTCGAACTGCTGACCTTCTGATCGGCAAGCCCAAGAGGCTCAGTGGTTTAGACCACAGCAGCACCCGCGTCCCTCCGATGAAAATAAGGATGTACTATTCCACCACCACCATCATTTTACTACTTATACCCCACCCATCTGACTGGGTTTCCCCAGCCACTCTGGGCAGCTTCCAACATATTTAAAAGCATAATAGAACATGAAACATTAAAAAACTTCCCTATCCATGGCTGCCTCTAGATGTCTTCTAAAGCAGTGTTTCCCAACCTTGGGCCTCCAGCTGTTTTTGGACTACAACTCCCATCATCCCTAGCTAGCAAGACCAGTGGTCAGGGATGATGGGAATTGTAGTTCAAAAACAGCTGGAGGCACAAGGTTGGGAAACACTGTTCTAAAGGTTGTATCTCCTTCTCTTCTTGGCTGGGGGGGGGGAGGGTCACCTAACTCCATACCCTCCAAAATTTCTCTAATTAAAATAGGGACATCCTAAGGGAATGTCCTATTCACAATACAATAAAAGCCATATACAAATAATTTCCTATATGAAATCACCTATAAACAATTGCATACATAAAACTGAAAACCATTACATGTATAAAAGTTGTTAAAGTGATGGCACATCTTAAAACAGTTTCAAATCCTGTACAGAGGGTTTAAATGCTGATGCCCACCTCTTAATAGGAGTTGAAAGGTACATATTCGAACCACATCTGCAGCAGTTATATGGGCTTGCTGGTTTGCTATGGAAACCAATTCAAGGTAATAGTGGCTTAACCTTTAAAGCCTTGGATGGCCTGGGACTTTCATGCCTTAAGAGCTACATATGCTTCCCTGAATGATTCAGCAGGTTGTACTGTCTGTTCCATTTCGGTGGCAGGTTTAGACGTCAGCAATCAAGAGCATTCTGAGTGATTGTCCCTAAATACAGCTTCCTTTCTGAAGAGGTTGGGAGAGATGCAACTTCATTATCTTGCTGGAGGAGAGGTTGCAAGCCCTGCCTTTTCCGTTCTGGATTTTGATGAAGAAATCAGTTTTTGTGTGTGGCTGCTTTCATCTGTAGTGGCATGTTGTTGATGCTGCTTTTTTTGTCCTCCTAAATGTATTTTTCTTTTATTTGACACAAGTTGCTTTGAACTGCTGGAACAGCAGCCTAGGAGAAGTTAACTCAATAAATGTACAAAACAGGAACATACAAACAACAGGATACAAATCTGATGTTTAATGGAAATGGATTCTATTGAGAGATGCAGAACTGCTCGGGTTGGTCTTGTTGGTTGGCAGCCGTCTGTCTCAGGAGACAATGACAGAATGCACCTTTGGGGGTGAAATCAAACCATTGGAGAGTTACATACCAATATGGGAGAGACATATTTTGTTGCAGCTGGGGCAGATGAAGGTGTTTGGTTGTGTTGATCCAGGTGTACTATGGCGTTTCTTCTTTCTTTGCTCCTCCCAGTTGCCCTTCCTCCTCCAGGGTACTGCCCATTCTCATTATGGTGGTGGTATCTCAGTTTCTGTCCATTAGGCAAGAATGAGATTCAAAATGGAGTAAGGGGAAGCCAGCAGAGGGTGGCTGGGTGGCAGAGGGCTAATCCACACTTACCTTTATCCTGCCCTTTCCAGGCACTGCCTGAGACTGAAAGCTCCATGTCTGAGTATCTTTGTTTGTTTTCGTTTTTGCTCCTGAGCTTTCCCAGTGAAAACCTGCTCTTTAAAGCTCAATCGGAACCAACGTCAATCTGCTGGAAATCCGAATTGATGGAAGTCACCTTCTGACACCACCTCCAGCTTTGAAGGAGCTGCTTTTTCATCACTGTATTTTCAGAAGTCATTTTGGGCACCAGAAAAAAACACCCCATGTGGTGCACAGATGAGTTTAAACAAATAACTGTGCAATTAAATGGAAAGGGCTGATCACACAGGTCTTTCGCGTAGGTAATTCTACAGAGAACCCCCTCCCTGACATGTCCATGTGCTGCATCATTCACACAGCTGGACATCTGCAGGTGCATGATGGACAAATGGATCCTTCGTGGATGAGGACAGCATCTGAAAGGCTTTGCAAACAAGCCACACACTGGGCATAGGAAAAACAGCAGGCATTTGAAAGCTGAAAAAGAGAAGCAGCAGCAAATATGCGAAGTGGTTTCCATGGTACATAATGTACTGTGGATGGGCTAATTGCTCACTTTCACCCAGGAATTGCTGTCTGGGCAATTTATAATTTTCTGGCTAGTTTTAAAATGGCAATAGCTCTCATGTTAAGACTCCACATGCGGCATGCCTCCTGCTTTTAATGGAGATGTTCTGCATAGTCTACCTTTTGTGGAGTGCCAGCCTTGCTAGGGACTAGAGTTGATAAGGACCTGAGGCTTTTGGGATCCAATTTAGGTACACCAGCCTTCCCTGTTTTGCGTTAGACACAGGCAGCTCATAGGTACCACCTCTTTAATCCTCTACCTCAGGCAGGAGATATAGAAGATATAGAAGTATCAGCCATACCAACAGGCTAAAAAATAGCTTCTATCCGTGGGCTGTCAGGCTGTTGAATGGAAAATAACATAGCAAAATTGACTTGCGAGGTGGTGCGTTGTTTGATAAGAGATTGAGTGTTGGGGGGGGGAGAGGGAGGCTCATTTAATTTCATTGTACACAGGTTGTACAATGACAATAAAGGTATTATTATTATTATAATGTTTGGACCACTTGGGAGATCCATGGCGCTTTGGATCCAGCGGATTCTAAGCTCCTAGTGCCCCATCCTGAAATAATAATTTTGAGGCTTTCCTCCGGCTGTCCACAGTGGTACCCTACTGCCTGCATGTGTGGAGCGGGAGCCCCTGCCACAGCAAAACTACCGCCTGAATCAGAGGTGCACCTCTCTGGTGACAGAGGTTGGCGGAGAGGCAACTGTGCTCCATCCTGCCCCTGCCCCATGGCCATTTGGGGTGTGTTAGGATTGCTCTGTAAGATGTCATAGCAGGAGAATACAAACACATCAAAGCAGAAAGTAATTTTAAAGTGTGCAGTCTTCACTGCAGAATCTTACCGCAGTTGCTGATTGAAGTTGTCCTCACTTTGGGTGCATAGCCTCAACATTCATTCTCGTGACAAAACACATATAGGGCCCCCCCGAGTCTGGTGTTTCATTGAGGGCATATTCTGCAACGTAATTTTTGAGACAAGAGTAGTGCCTTAGTGGAGCATTTTCTCTGCTTCATTTAGTTATTTTGCAATGCTTTCCCAATGCTATCACATTATTGCTGCCCGGGGGGCGGGGAAACGGGACTGCAGCGCAACAAAAGCAAGACAGAGATAAACCAGAGGAATCTGTGGTATAGAAAGTTGTGAGTTTTAATAAATAAATATAAACAACAGGACTTGAGCAGAAAGTTATGGGATATTTACATATGGGATATGGGAAAGGAAATAGTGCAATCGTCCCCAAACATTTTCAGGAACAAACAGTATTGGAAGCGGCACCTCCAATAAGGGTTTTGAGCACAAATAATCAGGAATGCACAAGCAAAACATCTGGAAGGCCCTGTGGTAAAACTAAAGAGATGCCTTTACAGCATTTGTAATAACACACTGTTCTAAATTTATTTTTACAAACAATTCCTTGCCTAAGGTAGTCTTTGCATTTTATTCTTTCTTCTACATTAGTGTTGCTAAATCAGACATACAATTAACATTTTTCATTCTCATTCCTAAACTATCTTCTTCTTCTAGGAAGGTTGTTGTTACGAATGTTTTTTTTCCCCTGGTTCCATGTTACCTAAAGCAAAGTATTGTTCTTCCATCTGAATCCTTTTGAATCCCACCGAAATACACAGTGGGGCTGACAGATCAACATTCAAAAGGTAAAAACATTGCTAAATCTAGTTACTAGAAGAACAAAGGCCTGTCAAAGTGAAAAGGAATCAGATCAATATTTTTAGGGTCAATATCTGTGAGTTCAGACCCACCTGTCTTTATTCCAGGACTCTGAGACAAATAACTCCCAAGGGTTGTGTGTGGGCAGCCAGTAGAGTAAACGTGTGGGAGAAATTGCTGCTGCAAATTACTTGTTGCAAGGTACTTGCTGGAAAGCTGCAAATTCAGAAACTTGCTTTCTTCTTCAGTTTTGGGTCTCCACAGTTGCAAAGCCCAAAGCAGAACCACCTATCCTTTGAGGAGTCATCCCATCACGTTTCTGTGTGAGTCTGCGCTCTGGGATTTCCCCCCTTCCAATCAGGAAGGCAGTGGCAGAAACATAGAGTGGGTTCCTTTAGGATGGGTATTTCGTACACTTTCCAGAGTTAAAGTGAAGTGTAGATGGGTTCCCACAAGGCAAGACACAGTGATAAGATACCTTTATTGAGCTACATAACTGGGAAACAGAGGCAAAGCAACTGCTTAAATACATTTCTGAAAGCCTAAGCCACTCCCACTCCCAACGTGATTGGCTGTCTAAACTTACAAACTGCGAATCACGATGCAGAGTTCAAGGGCCAATGGCAGAGGCCCAAATCCTGAAATGTTCTGTGATTGGACAACATGTATCAAATCAGAACACAGGAGCTCAGATTCCTTAGTCTAGACGCAAGCTGAGGCAAACACAGACCACTGAATACATAACATAAAGTACGGCCTATAGATCACGCACCAATAGAAGGGAGAGCAGGGGCATCTGGAGAGGAGACTGAGAATGGTGCACAGGTGTGTTTACATTACCTCTCTAGAGTGAAGTGGGGACTGTGAACACAACTATGCCCTTCCCCACTAGGGTTGGACGAACAAGGTGGGATTGGCTCCATCAGCAGAAGTCCTGCACAAGGACCTCCACTTGCTCAGCAGGGCTTTCAGGCGGTGCCCTGGGCAAGGCCAAAATTCAGTGCCCCCTGCTTTCCGTTCTGCTCAATTTACCGTGTCATCGTTGCAGTGGCCTGCAGTGCCCCCTAGTTTTGGCGCTCAGTGCTGCAGAACTGGTTGCGAGGCTCTAATTCCACCTCTGCAGGGCTTACGCTCTCTCTTCTCCCCATAGCCTCCTCCATGCTCCCCAATATTGGCTCAGGGTCAGGTGAGCCCCCAGAACAACAGCTGGGGAGAGGAAAGGGGAGATGGTTCTGTCTGGTAAGCTGCAATGCTTGTGCAGATGGAACGATGGGATGAGCATGACAAAGTTCACCCGCAGCATTATAGTAATTATTTTGAGATTTGCGTGCGCGCGCACACACACACAGGTTAACACAAGGAAATTTTATGCAACACAGGGGCCTCTTTCAGTGTCCTAATTGGTGATGAATTTCTTCATTTGGAGCAATGTGAAAGCAGCCACCCCAGAAATCTGATACACTGCCAGGTTCCACGCTGCTTTTGTGCTTGATATAAGCTTCTTATTAATAGCCTTCTCACTGTGTCTACCACATGAAAACTAATCAAGGCCGCACTGTGTATTGTGTTGCATTGTGAACCAAGCTTCAGCAGCTATTTTTATTAATAACACATTTTTTATTTTAAAGAAAACATGTTTTTTGGTTCCCCCACCACATCACCTAGCTAAGCTGCTTATTATTTTTTTAAAAAAAGCTTGAGTGCTAGCCCTGTATTGTATGCTATTTTCTCAAGTTAAAGCATGTACAGTGGTACCTCGGGTTACATACGCTTCAGGTTACAGACTCCGCTAACCCAGAAATAGTGCTTCAGGTTAAGAACTTTGCTTCAGGATGAGAACAGAAATGGTGCTCTAGCGGCGTGGTGGCAGCGGGAGGCCCCATTAGCTAAAATGGTGCTTCAGGTTAAGAACAGTTTCAGGTTAAGAACAGACCTCCGGAACAAACTAAGTACTTAACCCGAGGTACCACTGTATGTTGCTTTTGCTATGCGGCTGTTTCGCTGGACATGAAGGCAAGCAGCCATGTTTTCCTTTGTTCCTGAACTAATAATAATAATAATAATAATAATAATAATAATAATAATAATATCTTTATTGTCATTGCCCCCTCTCGGGGACAACAAAATTACTTGGCTGCTCCATCCACCCAGGTAGGGCACTCCACACAAAATCAAAACAACTATAAAAACACTAATTAAAACAATACAGTATACACTGAATAAAGCTGTAAATATGCTCTCTTTGTCTGCCTCTTCCGTTGTGGATGATTTATACACTCTGCTGACAGAGTGTGCACGGGTCTTGGAACGTATCTGAGGCTCGTGTCGCTAATTGACTGATGCTGTTCCACTGGAGACCGGTGATCGTCTGGAGCCAGCTGGGTGCCTGCCTGATGCCTCCGTCTCCCTGGCAGCATCCCAACAGCTGCCACAAGAAGTCCACCTTAAGGGATTGCAGAACAGCTCACATTTCCCATCTCTTCTGTGTCAGTGAGGGTTAGGACTAGTCATTAGGCAGGGTGAAGCTGTTGCCTCAGCTGGCAGAAGACCATCAGGCAGCATGCCCATAGGTGCCCCACCAGTCTCGTCACCTGTGCCAGTGGCAGAGAAGTAGCAACACCACTGGCACCGATTGGGGCAAGTTCCTGTCCCTGTTGGACGAGATCTCACCCAAAATTGCATGCAATTTTGTGGAGTGCCCAGGATCTCATCGGATTTAGGGGCGAAATTTCACCCAATATAGGCAGGAACTTGCCCCTAAAGCAGCACCAATGGCAGAAGCACTTCACCAGCAAAGGATTTTTTACAAAACTGTAAAAATAAAGAAAAAATAAGTTTGCAAAACAATAATTACCATGTGGTTAGGGTAGATCAACCTGTCAGTGTCCACTTATCCCCAGTGCAAATATGACATAACGGCAAAAGTCGGAAATTGAAAAATAACTATAGCATGTACACAAAAATCGATTTCAGATTTGAAATCAGCATTGAAAGAACATATAAGAACAGTTGAAAAATCTCATGCAAAAGAAAATGTAAAAAAAATTGTTCCCTAGTATACTGTGTATCCCAAGGAAATACGGTACATTTTTTTGCATACCTCCAATTGTACATAGATATACACTTCATTTTCAATGCTATACATGTCATGTTCAATGCTATATAAGCCCCTTACATTTATACACATATCGTACTACTTTGGCTATGTGTTTAATAAAATATTGAATTCTTGCATTGTGAAAAACAAAGATTATGGAGATAAGTGAAAAACATGAATTGCAAAAAAACCCTAGAGCTTACAGAACAAAACCAACTTCAGATATGAAATCAGCACGTCGAAATTAGGTTAGAACAACTGCAGGTGTCAATGCAACAAAATTTTTGTTCCCCAGTGTAGTTATGGTCTTCGTATGCTAGCTGTTTCAGTTTATATTGCTGTTTTAAAAGGATAGATTGCCCGGTTGTTTTGTGCTGCTAAACAATATGGCATTTTTATTGTAACTTTTGTACTCATTTGTGATGTTTTTATGATGTTGTAAACCACTCAGATGCGGGGATGCGGGTGGCGCTGTGGGTAAAAGCCTCAGCGCCTAGGGCTTGCTGATCAAAAGGTCGGCGGTTCGAATCCCCACGGCGGG